GTATGCTGAAAGTCAATAGTGTTGATATTTCAGCTTTGTAGACTAAATGCAATTTTCTATGGAAATCGAATTGACATGTATAGCAATGCGGCGCATCTTGAAAAATTCCTATATTTTTCTTTTTGAAAGAGAAATATGATTTAAACCCACATACAAGTGAAGTTAATCCTATTTCTGGGATAATATATGTTTCTTATGTTAAGGCCGATTTCCAATTAATCAGTAGTGTCAATCGAAGCCACCTTTGATGGCTTTTTGTTAGTCATTTTTCCCAGCCCTTTGGGAACTTTCGTTCGCCGGCCGAATTATCATCAGCCTCAAAATTATTCAGTTCTTCATGATCAACCTCAAAATCAATACTACCAACAGCCAAATCCAACAACTCAAAATTATTGTATAAGATATGATTAACCTCAACCTAAAAATAAATCTGCCAGGTCAAGCAGTTGAGCCTGTAGTGCAACCCCCTAAATCTCAAAGGAAAATATCTAAGGACAGTGTAAACGGACACATTGCTGTGATCCGTGGGGTGATGTCAGGTCTTGTGAGTTAGTAGGCTGTAATCGTGACTCAAAAATACATAATGAGTAGAGATTAACATGACATAAAGGCAGCATCTAAAAAATTCACTACAAAAAGTCACACTCGAGCCTTTCTGGCGTGTCACCTGCCAGGTCCCCGGTGAGTCGAAAAGCGAAATTGAAAATTCTGAAAGTATTAACTACAAACCCAGCGATTGTCCTAAACCTACTATTATCTAGCAGCTTTAGATTCAAAAGCACCTTCGGGGAATCTCTTTTCAGAAACTGCGGTGTAGTTGAACCAATGCAACAAGCTACTCCAATCTGCAATAACACAGCTAAAGAAATTACAAGTCAATTTTATGTACCGATGATTACTGTCACATCACCAGAATCACCAAGAGTAATGAGCAACATGTCATTGAGACAAACCTACCTTAATGGAATAAACAAACGATATTTCCCAAATGAACCTATTATTGGTTCAAACAAGTCCGAAGCAGTGACGTATTTTTTTTTTTTTTCATCAGTGCTGTGAAAAGTCTTTAAACGCTTTGTTTGTTCCTCCATCGAAAGTGAGGTTATGTGTGTGACGTCAGCTAGTGCCTAATAGACCTATCTCGTAATACCTGAATCAGCGCGCGCAGCCTGTGGCAAGCTGGTGAGAAAGTGAAGTTTGTTACGGGCTTGCATAATATTTCTTCATTTCTATTCAGGGGCGAGTTCAGAAGTAATCGTTCCTTTTTTCTTTGTAGAGAGCAAGCGAATACTTTACGTATTACTTGAACTCACCGCAGTGTTGTTTAAGGTTATGTTAGATTATACTTGACATATTCCTTTGCAATTTCATTGAGCGATGTTGCCGGATGAAACATTTTTCAAAATAAAAGTTCAAACCAAGTAACGTAAGCCCTTCTTTTGTCTGATTTAAAACGTTGTAACACAGTTGACACTATATCACTTCTTTAATGTTGAAATGTTCGATTTGTATTGTCTACATTAGTTCTGCGACCATACAATCTAGCTACACTGCAGCCACGAGTTGCGTGCGCATGTCATCTTTTATTACTTTTTAACTTATATTTATTACAGTTGAACTCTCTTTTTGTATTTATGCGAGATCAGGTGAGAAAGAAATCTTTGAGCGATGAAAAACGAAATGTAATCGAGTACAGAGAAAACAAAAACATAAAACAAACTCTCTAAGAAGAATAACGAAGCAATGATGAACAGTCATAGAAGAGAATAAAGGTTTAAAATGCCTGAGGCCAAGATTCCGCACCAACAAAACCCCACGCATAAAAAATGAAGATGTAACAGAAGAAATGGACAAGAACAAAATCGCTTTGGATGTAGAAACCTATTATGGTGACATTTGAAAGCATGTTTTATAGAAGATATCACCTGGTGACATTGTCACTTCCTTGAAATTTAGTATCCATTTTTTTCCCGCTGATATATGTTGTGTTGTGCGACATTAAAATTGGAAAATCCACAGGTTGCTGATAGAATGGTAATTGATGGAAGATTTAAAAATGAATTGAAAGAAATCGAAACTGAAAAGGATATTTTTTCATCTTACCTTGCTCTACTTCCAAACTCCACTCAGCTGGCCAGCTCATTCAGGAAGTTCAGGTCCCATGCGTAGGAGTGCAACGAAACCGTCTTGATTTAACCGGTCGCAACAAACGAAAAACCGCGGGTCTATTTTCTCGAACTACACGAAGCGGGCGAAGTGTTTTTGGCAACTGGTACTACTTGTCGGCAGGAAGTGTAAGAACTTTACCGGTACCCGTTTCAGTGTTTTAACGCGCGCATTTTTAAAAGCCAAATTTAGTAAAGCCGTATCATTCTTAGGCATAGAGCACGCACAAATCAATTGGAATAAGAGAAAACAAAAAATAAAGAAAAACGAATCAATTTCCATTCCCAAATAGGATTTAGCATCCTAAATACCCAATTTAACCTACAACTATATACAGGGCGCGTAGACGAAACTGAACATGTGTAATCATCAATTCAGAATTTGTGCTTAATAGGTACTTTCGTTACTGATTGTGTTTTTTCATCAACTGTGTATTATAACCTCGAAAGTATTTCCAGATATTTCCGCTAAAACCTTTATACCCTTGTGTTTTCCGGTTCATACATTTTCTTAGCTTTATTACGTCTCTGCGGATCGATTTTACTGAAATCCTCTTTTAGTTTTCAGCGTATTCCCTTTGTTGCAACTTGAATGCTGTTCGTGATGTTTTCGTTTCCCATTTGTGAGAGTTTTCTTACTTCGCTCAATTTAGTGTTGATGATCATTTGGTTTGGTCGGTATGTAGTTAATTTTGTTTTGCGTGCCACTTTCTAGGTCTATTGTTTTTGCAGGAGTTTTTGAAGGAAAGTTTTTCCCTGCCCAACAGACTGACAATTTCTTATTTGAAAAAGTGTTTTCATTCGGGTTTGGTCACCAAGCAGGAGATTGTAGAGTACTTGAACATCCAGGACATCAGGGACCCAAGGACACAACGTCGAATAATCAAAAACGCGTCTTATGACTAGAGACAGACAACAATAAAAAATATTTTAAAGAAGTCATCACCAATAACATCACATATCGCGCCTTTCTCGATTTCAGTGCTAGTTGCAATCTGATATGTTTATCTGAGGCAAAAGAGCTTAATATTCCCATTTTAGACTGTGAAGTTACCCTGAAAGGTTATGGAATGAACCACATACAGGTCTTATGAAAAGTAACAGTCACATTGAAAGTTGATGGTGTCCAAAGAACTGTAGATTGCCTTGTGGTTCCTGATACAAGAGGTTCCAATATTAATAGGACAAGCATTTACTGAGCAACCAGGGTTACTTGTATCAACAGATAGTGAAAGTTTGAGATTCAGTGAACTTCAACAACTAGACTATAATATACCAAATAAAATTACGTTATGGTTAGAAGAAGCAACTTTTTTTCCACCAAATCATGTTGGAAATCTTCGTGTTAATAGTAAATCATTAGTTCAGGGAGACTTTTACATTGAAGCATGTTTTAGATGCCAACTGGGGAGGGAATATGCAATTCCTTGGATCCTTATTCACTCCAGAAAACGTGCCAGTAATCCCAATAAAAAATTTATCAGGCAAAGATCTTACTCTAAGCAATAAGGATCCTATAGCTAGAGCATTCTTCTGCAAAATGGAAGCTAGAGACCAATCTGCACGTATACTGTGACTTGAAATTAACGAACTTCCCCGAATAGAAGAAAAAGATGTTAAAATTGGTACGAGTGACCGGCAACTTCGGGAGAAACTAATGGATATATTACAGGAATTCAGAGATCTATTCAGCACTGTATCTGAACATTTTGGGCAAGCTAAATCAGCTTAAATGGTAATCAAGCTCACAGACGACCAGTCTTTTACCTACAGACCCTATAGAATGGCAGAAACGGAAAAAGAAAAAGTGAGGACAATCGTTTCTGCATTACTAGGAGCCGAAATAGTGTGCGAATCTACTTCTTGTCATGCTTCTCGTGTGCTCTTAGTTGAGAAGAAAGATGGCAATGACAGAATGTGCGTCGATTACAGGATCCACTACCTCGTATTGATGACCAAATAGGTGAATTAAGCGGATATTCAGTTTTCACCAGTTTAGACCTTAGCTTAGGATACCACCAGATTTCAATAGCCGAAAATAGTAATCACCTTATATCTTTTGTAACACCTGAAGGACAATACGAGTACAACCGAATGCCATTTGGACTCAGTAATGCACCAGCAGTCTTCCAGCGCATGATGAATCAAATATTAGGGCCATATCGCGACACCGCTGAAAATTTTCACCCCAGAAGTAGTATAGCCATTCATACTAATCATACAAGTTTCATCAATTTTATATAAAGCCATAAAGGTTATATCTAATCAACCAATTGTTCCATTCGACAACATAAATCTAGACCTATTTAACATGCTTCACGATCGTTCCACATATCGCAACGCCGAGGGCTTGTTAATTGTCCGTAAAAACAAAAGTAACACGGCGAAGTTCCTTTATTCATGGCATCGTAAAAGGCGACGCGAGAGCGCCTCGACGCTCGTGAATATTTCGCGGAAAATTTTAAAACTTCCGACTTTACGACGTTCCCCCGCGACAAAATACAACCACCCCGAATAAATTTCGACGCGCCCTCGCGACGTGTCTGGGACGACGTAACTATCATTCAATTCACCTAAAAGTTGTTTGAGCGATATATTTGAAGTTGCCGTTACGGAGATAGGAAGTTTGAGGTTTTGGTATATGAGTCTAGTAAAATTTAACAACGCTGGTACTAAAAACGACCTTACCATTAAAAAAGGAGCATTAGGATTCTCAACAAGCCTTCTCAAAGTGCCAGAAAACATAACTCACACTTTCTCCTCCTAATGGAATACTTCAACCATGCAAAAAAGGAGGAGAAACTAGATCCTTTCCACTCAATTGACCCAGTTTACCAATAGAATTCTAAAGCACCTTTAACGCGTGTCCTAGAAACGAAGGCTGTTGCTTTCCCTCTCGTCAGCTCCGGATTAACTCCAGAAAAGGCCGACCCATGCAAAACTAATTCACGATGCCGGGCGTCGCGACGCTTGAATTCTTTCATTAGGACTTGCCAATTAAGTTGGTGTTTGTCGTGTGACGTTTTAATTTAGTCTAGTAATTTGTCAGTATTGTTATCTTAAATCAAAATTTATGCGGGATCTAATAAAAAAAAATTTATGGGGAAGAGTTTATTGGAAAACCCTCTGTCTTAGTAAAATATTTACCGACAGGGTGAAAATTGCTTATGTTGTCGGATTTTCGGATGTCGTCTTTTTTTCACAGGCATCCGAGACGATTTTATCGGATTGGCATAAATGTGTTTGTTTTTTACGATATCGTGGTTTTACAACTTTTTTTTTTGTGTGGAAGCAATATAATAAATCGTCGGATTTAAATAACAAAAAGGCTTTTCGAAAAGCTTCGAGATCCTTTCCACATCATTTTTCATTCTAATCCAACTTTCAAGATTGTATATGCCGGAAAACTTGATAAAAATCTAGTTCAAAGTAATCAAGCCCTCGCCTAGTTTCAAAATGAGTAGCAACCGTTTTTTCGCAAGCACGCCCCCATACAAAGTTGAGTCTCTGATATTAAGTAAATTCACCTAGTTTTCTCGGAAAAGAAAGTTCACTGAAAGTTCCTAGAGAGAGAAGTTTGTTAGTCTGCCACCACATTGTCTCGCGGGAGAGAAAATATTTATTTATCAAGAGTGTCTCTGGCTGGGTGTTACGTATTTTAGAAAAGAGCGCTATAATATGGTCTACTTGTTGTAATCGAGCCATGAGAAAATAATAATAATTGAGTTAGGTTATGAGAAGAGACACTAAAAGACAAATCTAACAATTACTAGCTGTTCATAAGGTTGTACGTTGTACCATTGGAACCAGAAGTTAGTTTGCAATCGGTTGCATTGAGCTGAGTAAACCGACACAGTTTGCAAACTGTCAGAGACTCTTGTTAGAACAGACCTTATGAGAGAATAATCATCATCATCATAATCATAAGCAGCCCAGTCGCGTCCACTCCTGAACATAGGCCTTCCCTTCCAATTTCCATCTCTGACGGTCTTGTGCAATGTGTTGCCAGCCTCTCCCTGCCCTTAATATCATCCATCCACCTCTTTTGAGGTGGTTTGCCGCGTTTGTGTGTTCTTGGTCTCCACTGCATGACTATTTTTGTCCATCTGTTGTTCATTTGCCTCGCCACGTGGCCTACCCATCTCCACTTTACTTCTGCTATGCACTGGATCACATCGTTCACACCCGTGCATCAACGTATGTCTTAGTTGTTCATCTTGTCTCTCAGACTAATGCCTAGCATTGCGCCTTGTTCTATGCCCCTCTGAGTGACTCTCAATTTGTTTGCACTTTTTATGGTTAGTGTCATGGCTTCCAGGCCGTACATACGTCAGTACAGGGAGTATGCACATGTCATGCACTTTTCTTTTCATGTTTATAGGAATATCTGGATTTTTCAGGACGAAGCGTAATCTTCCAAATGCTGCCCAGGCCTCACTCTTCTGGTAATTTAAGCCTTTTGGTTCTCTTTCCCATCCCCTCCAAGGAGCTGTGAGACCTGGCCGTTGGTAAAGGGTCCCAGCGACTGACCGTTCATTTGCATCGGCCAGTCGTTGCTAAAGACAGCTCAACCTTAGGGGCTCATATCTGATGAGCACCTGAGCTGGCATTCTCGAGGTACCTTGGCTGGATCTAGACTTTTTTTCAACTTGCCTTGAGTCAGATACCCTTACTTTCTTCTCTCCTATAAAATCTCTCTTGATCAACCTCTCCATTTCTACCCCCGATGCTATTAGACCTATTCGAGGTCTAGGGGGCCTCATTCTTATGGAAACCAAAAACAATGATGGAAAGCAATGAAAAGGAAAACAAGTTTACGATGCAGGGGGGATACCACAGTACCGATCGAGGAATATGGTGGTGGTGCAGGCCAGCCTCGACTGTCAACAAAAGCCTGTACAGCGCCTCTGGTAGGGAACCAGGCCGGGGCGCCAGTGCCAATGACTGGAACCAAGACAGAAGAGTGGTCTGTCCACTTAGGGAGATGGAACTCCTTACCGAGGTGACAATGAAGTTCTTATGATCGAGGACAATGATAACTCACAGGAAGAGAACGAAGAATGCCGAGAAGATGAAAATCCGTTTACAAGGCGACAATCAATCACGGGGACACCACCACCACCACGTAGGGAAAGAACCAACTCTGCCTGAAGTTACTACAGAAAACCCATGGACAATGGCTCGTCCAATCAAAAAAGGCAAGAAAGGTACAGAGTCAAGTCCCGAAGCGGATGACACAGACGGTCAAAGAATTAAATGCAACGATAGAACAAATACAGAAGTAAATTAAGAAGTTATCAGTGGAGTGAATGAGAATGTAAATAGGAAGAAAGAAATAATATAAATTACCAGATAGCTGCAACGGTAGTCTGAAGTGCTCAATAAGCCATTAATACAAGAATGGCTGCAGACACAAAAATATCACAAGGAAGATATAATTACCAAAACAGGGGTAAGTATAAGCACCAAGATGATGGAGGAGGGAACAGTTACTAACGAATTGGATATCGCCGAATGCAATACCTTCCAGAAATGGACAAACCTAGCCCACAAGCAATGAGTGGAAGAAGTACATATTTGCAAATACTGAAGTAAAGGTGGAAAACCCATTAGATATAAAAGATGAAGTCATAAAGACGACGTGGACAGAACCAGAGGATGTAAACATGGACAAGGGAGTACAAAGGATCTTCGGAGACAAATACCACGAACTAATCGAGATTGATGAAAATTTTGGTGTCATAGAGAAAGAAAACAAAACTAGGACCAGCAAGATCGGACAAACGACGAAGAAGAAAATTGTCAAAATTTCACTACAACGAGGCAGATATATATGATGAATTACTAAGAACCGAAAGCCAAGACGACAACTATATTGCCACGCATCAACTAAACAGGATGGAAACCGAAAGATTTAGAAAGATGGTAGAAACTGTGTTTCATGGAGCTTAAACTACAGTGACAATATACACAAAAGAAAATACCACGAGGACGAAACAAAAAAAAGGAAGACGTGTGCCTTGGCCGTCGATACCGGAGACCAATCGTATGAAGAAATTCTAAAGAGTGTTAAAACTAAACTGAGAAACTAAGAAGAAAACAGAAGTGTACAAGGGTTCAGGAGTAAAAGAGAGGGAAAGCTGCTGATTACCTTGGATAAGGATAAAGAGGCTATTGAAAAGATCCAAAAACAAATACAAAACAGAGAGGGAAAAACTGAGGGAAGAGTCTGGAAACTGGAGGAAAGAAAGGAGAAAGAATATATCCATATCAGAGGAGTAGACGTACGCACAGACATAGAGGAAGTGAAGAAAGCGCTCAGCGAAAACATACAAGACATACATAGCAAGGAGTACAAGCTAAGCGAACTTAGACCTGCCAGCGATAATACACAAGCAACAACTCTGACCATAAACAAAATAGATGCTGAAAGCCTTTTAGCAAAAGGAACCATAAAAATTGGACTAATGAGGTGTAAATTGAAGCGACGAGTAAAGATGAATACGTGTTATAGATGCTGGGGATATGACCATCTGCAAAAAGACTGTACGGGACCTGACATAACAAAGAACTGACATGACATGGGTGATTGTTAAAGTGATAGAAGTGGCCCCATATGTAATGAGAAGGGACACAGAGCGGGAATAGGAAAATGTAAGTCATTCCGAAGATGCCTTTCAATAGCCAAGAAAAAAATAATTCACAGAGCTCAAAGTAATCCAACTTAATATGAACAGATGCAAAACTGCTCATGATCTAAGGCAAAAAATAATTGAAGAAGAGGGAATTGATATAAGGTCTGTTTTTGCAGAGATCCCAAACCAGTGAGAGTGAATTTCATTGGTTGAAACTAGTTTTCTGACTGTTTTCAACCAATGAAATTCGCTCTGACTGGTTTGCGATTTCTGCAGAAACAAACCTATAGCGATAGGACAGGAACCGAACAAAAACTTAGCAACTAGCATGGACTACTGTGACATTGCAAATGACTCTTTTATAAGCGTAGACAAAAACTTGAAGGTGATTAATAAATAGCATTGCAGGTGAAGGTCTTGTATACAGGTCTGACAAGTGAAGATCTAACATGCCAATTCCACTGTTCCACCTCCAGCATGCAGCAATGAGAATGCTGGAGGTGGAATAGGGGAAATCGTTTTCGTTCTCTATTTAACCTTGGACATTTTCTAGACATTTCATCCTTTTGCATTGAAATTGGCCTGTAAGATGTTCACTTGTCAGACCGATATGTGAAGTTGGGTGAAGGATATACTATATGCTCCTGCTACTTCTCGCCAAATGGAGTCATAGAAGATTTTGAAGGGCGAATAAACAAAATGGATAGTATGGTGAGCCCAACAAAGAAATTATAACTGGTGGAGATCTGAATGCCAAATCCGGTATCTTCGGATCAAATGTTACCAACCAAAGAGGACTAATACTGGAAAACTGGATAGATGCGACGGGCCTGGTATTTGTAAATAAGGGAGATACTCTCACGTTTTGGAGAAAACTGGGTGGTTCCATAGTTGACATAACAGTGGCTTGTGGCTTCGTCAAAAAAAATAAAAAAAATAACAGGATGGAATGTGGAAAAGGATAAAGAAAACTATGCCTTCGTACCATAAGTTTTGAAATCAAGAGATTCCTGATAAACAAGAACGAATATTATGAAAGATCCAAATGAATAGGCTGGAAGATAACACCTTACTTCATGAAAGTAGTCCACAAACATGCTGCAAACATGTTCACTGATATAAGCAATGTAGATCCCATCAAACAAAGATGAAATACAAGGATGCCAAACGGGAACTTAAAAATGACATAATCAAGGGGAAAAAAATGGGAAGAACTGTGTAATGAACTGAACCAGGATATATGGGGAAAGGCATACCAAATAGTTGCCAAGAAACTGAGACTGAGGACACGAAAAACTCTGGATGAGGACACGGTAAAAGCACGAGTCTCTAAATTGTTCCCTGAAAAT